CCCCCCCCCCCCCCCCCCCCCCCCCCCCCCCCCCCCCCAAAGACTGTTGTCGTACGCATTACGCGACCGCCAGGCGCATTTGCATTTTAATAACCAAATTATTCGTCAATCGTTTCCCAACAATCAATCGTTGAGTTATTAAGCTGTCAATAACCCTTTGACCCGTCGCCGCCGTCTTCCGCGTCGCGTCTTCGGTCCGTATCGGTTATCCACTGCTCTTTTCCTTTTTTTTTTTTGCGCGCACGTCCCTAAACGAGATCGCGCGGGCGAACCGAAAGTCTGCACGCACGTCACTCTAACCGTACACGATCGACACATGTAAATATCCAATGAACATATCCATCCGTGTTTTTAATTAAACGTCCACGCGCATTTTCAACGAACCGTATTCATTTTATTTTTCTCACTGCGTACACATCCTATTATAAATCATAATTACTACGTGCCGCGTATTTCATTTTTAAACCTATCGTGCTCGTACGTACACACCTACTAAACGTGTAACATAACAAACATCAATTAGTTGTACGCATGGTTAACGTGAAAATCTGGTCCGGACTACGGATCGGACCAGGCCAACGCGGAAACAATCATATTAGTCCAAATTATTGAAATCCGAAAAATCGTCATTTACTTCATAGCATTGCGATCATTATTTATTAATCATCGGCATATCAATTGTTGTAATCATTTCAACGCTTAGAATTAAGAAAAAATGATTAATAACAATCGAACCATTAAAATACTACGAGAAGTCTAAAAAAACATCAGTTTCGTAAAACGTAGTGGCAGGGTCGGTTTTTGCACTATTTCAATGAACGGCTGGAGTAGCTTAAAAATAAATCGAGTGACCAAAATGGTACGGATTACGACAACGTTAAAAATATATTTCACACGTAACAATAACGTGTACACAGAGTCATATAAACATTGCTAAAATAACCTGACCTGAAAACATTCGTATTGTTCACTAGACAACCTGCACAATGAGGTTTTCTTATTGTAACACTGCCATATAATATCGATACGGCCGTCAATCCCGGACGCATCACATGGACATGTCTTCCGGCTCAGCAATCGATCACAAGTAGTGATGGGCATATCCGAGATTCGAGACACCGAATAATTCGGACTTCGCATATTCTCCGATTCAATTTTGCTATTGAATGACACATACATTTAATTCTTAACACAATATTCGAATATAGGTATATCATATTTCCAATGTATTTTTACTCAGCAATTTAATAACTTGTTGTCTTTGTCGTAACTAAAAGTAATCTAAAACAGCTGTTGAAGTTACGATAATTATACTACGATATAAAAAAAGAAAGCTTGATGTAACTCATAAAACATAATATTAATTTGTTGTTAAATTTGTATTACAATAAAATAATTTATTATACTAGAAATCAGTAATAATTGTAAGTCACATAAGAAGCAAATCCACAAATCCAGATGATTTGGAAAACCTGTATGAGAATTTGATACGGATCCGGATATCCGGATATTCGGATAATTCAGATCTTCGGACTTTGTGTCCATTACTCGTCGCAAAGCGTGCCACATAACACCCGTTCGCTGGCATCGGAACCTCTCTCGTCGCTCTGCACTCGGTCCGGTGGTTCCCCACTCGCCGTAGTGCACACTATCATAATCAGGGTTCATAAGTTTATGCAATTGCATGTTTTCTTTACAACATCGGAAAATATGCTAATTGTGATAAAAATCCGTTCATAAAAATGGTTGTAATAATCCAAAGTTTAATAGAAAATGTATTTGTATGTTTGTGTTTACTGGCATATTTGGTATATAGTTGAATTTTCCGAGTTATTAGTGCATATTATTTTATGTAAGTTCAGCAAAATCGTTTTTCGTGAAAGTGAAAAAAAATAGACCAATAAAGCTTTGACTTTATTCATATTTACCTTTCCGAACCCGTTTATAATCGTATTTTATCAATATTTTTATTTTTTTATGACATTTAGTTTTCTAAGTCAAAAAAAGTACGCGCAATTTTATTGCGCACCACTACCACTCTCCTCCTATTACACGTGTCCATTGCAATCCATCTATTTCCATTGCAACGTGTGTTCATCAATTATAATTTTAGTAAAATGTAACCGAAGAAAAAATACAACTTTTAAAAATACGAACGGATATTTCTTATTATTTTAAAAATTGCACGGTTAAGGATTTTTAATGCACATTCGATCAAATGTTAGTGCATTTATGCGTTTTTTAGTGCATGAACTTACAAGCCCTGTCATCGTCGGGCGCTTTTCTCGCGGCAAACTTTCAGCGCTGACAACCGATGAATACGTTATAATAATAATACAATCGCGCGCAACATTATTATTAACATGTACGCAGAGTATTACAATTTTTTAAACGGTTTTGACTGACACGCGCCCGCGCGCAGAAACAAAACATTTACATAGGTACTGCTACGCCGTACACGTCCGCACACCCAACACTGAGCGCGGTGATTTTTAATCATCATCAATCATCGCGAACGCATACAAAAGCGAGTTGCGCGTTTGCTATCGACAAATTATTAAATCCATCGTATATACATGTATGTGCGCGCGCGCGAGTGTGTGTAGTAAATATCATAATGAATATTGTAATTCATCTCCGGGATCCACGTTGGCATATTCAGATCCGCCCATAAATTTACATAACAATTATTATTATTATTATTATTATTATTATTATTCTCCTCGTCGTCACGTAATACACTAATACGTTGTAAAGGATAATAATTCAACACGCCCACCAATTTCGTACACGTGTTTACAAAAAAAAAAAAAAAAAATAAAAAAAAAATCGAGAAAAAGGGGGATCGCAGAACACGATTTTCCGTCTTCGATTTCTTCGGTTATAACGTCGTGCGGTAATAGCCGTAGTCGTAATAAAAAAATAAAAAAAAAAAAACGTTAAACGTACACCTCTTGCGTTGAATAATTAAAACGTAGTACGTATTTGTTTTTACTTTTCGCGTCGAAAGCATAATATTACGCGGTTCAGCGTTTGCTCGCCGTAGGAGAATCGCTTTGGCTGGTATTTTTCTGGAAAAAAAAAAACAAATCAAATTCATACCGGTGACGTAGTCATAGTCGGGCGAGTGTTGGTACGGCGGGGGTTGATGGGCACGTGCGCGACGACGTCGAGTTCAGTAAGCGACATTTTTGACACAAATCTGTTTGTTATTATTATTATTATTATTATACGTCGACGACGGCGGAAGGGTAGCTAATCCTGAGCGGTGGATTATAGCTCGTATACGGCCGCCGAACAATGCGCCCGAGCACGTGGCTTGCCGATCAATCACTGTTGCATATTCATACAGGACCTCTGCCGCCGCCGACAGTACGTACGGGGAGTTTACGTCTCCTAGTCGACATCAAACCGTGGCTTTAAATACGTACATACACGCGCGCTATGCTTAATGACGACGATAATCGCGGTGGAATAATATATTATTTAATATTACGGTGTTTCGTTTACACCTTAGATACCACAATGGATACAATGGGTTGCGCGTGTCCTTGTATCCTTTTCCACGGTGTTCCGCGATTGAATAATGTATCATTTACCATACCTGCGTAACGTAATATTTTAATATTGTATTCTTCTGGCCCGTACAATACACGAATATAGTCGATCCTCACGATTTCCCGAACTCGACGGTTTTTGTCTTATAAGTTTCTTTCTATTTACAAAATTGACCAAATCAAAATTTTAATTAAGGCATAATTCGTGTTTAATGAAATATCCATTTGTAACCACTATAAGTAATGAAGTAAGTGTGAAATAATTATAAATATAATTTTTAGTTTACGATATTTTTTTGAATTTCATCCACAGCATTAATTAACTGTACCGTAACAAAATAGTTATAATAATAATAGTAATATTTATATTAAATACAAAATAAAATGCATTAAATAAATTTATTTTATGAATTGTTCAAAATTGTCGCCATTATATTCTAAATATGATTCAAGTCGCCTCAAAAATTCAGTCGAAGTTGCCGCCTTGATTTGGTCCTCACTTAAAATATCACAAGCTGCCTGTATTTTGTTTTTTATGTCTTGAAGATTGACAGGTGGATCTGCATAAATCACAGTCTTCAAATATCCCCATAAAAGAAAATCCAATGGCGTTAAATCTGGGGATCGTGCAGGCCAAGGAAGGACGCCATAAGAACCAATCCAGTGGTTCGGAAACATTTGATTTAATTGTCTTGTAACAATAACTGTATTGTGAGGTAGTTCTCCATCTTCCTGGAAAAACATATGTTCTCGTGTTTCTAATAAAACATTTTCCAACAGTCTTGGTAGCTCGTCGATTATAAAAATTAAAATATTGTTATATTAAATTATTATTTATAAACAGATAAAGTAAATTAAACATTTATCTGGCATTTATTTTATTATTTACAGTGGTTATAAATAGAATTAAACACGAACTATGCATAAATTCAAATTTCGACTTACTCTAACTTGGTCAATTTTGTAAATTTAAAGAAACTTATAAGACAAAAAAATCTATCCGAATATGTAAAAAATGTACTGTTTCCATTTAAAAAAATGTAAGTTTTATTGCGCATGCGCAAATCATAAGTATTAAAAATTTGAAAATCATGAATAAATGTGTATTTGAGTACCCCCTAGGCCCTCTAAAATATTCACTTCAATACAAGATCATCCACCTGAGATATTTAGTGTTACCTTGAATCGTGATCACATTGTATAGTACTTATTTCATGAATTTTTTAAACTTTTTTTGTAGAATAACTGTATAAAAGTTCACATTGTTTAAATAATTAATAGTACCATTGGGGAATGTAAATCCGTGAAATCCGTGACAAATAGGGTCGAATACAGTTTTTAATCCACAAAAATTTTATTTTATCTTGCTATTGAAGGTTTCGAAACACTAATGTTATATAATTTTGATCCGTTAAACAGAAATATTTTTTCATGAAATTGCCACGGTATTATAAAACCGTTACGTAAAGGGTTTATAGGTGGTACGTTTGCATGTGTGTGCATGAAGTAAACCCACTCGTTTGTCGAGGTTAGGATTTCACGCCACGGATTTGTGCTGCGGTTGAACCGTGCGTGGATTAATCGCGAGGGAGAAAAATAAATAAACTGCAATCGTAATAATTCAGTTGAAGCTTTCATACGGATTGAAATATAAATATACCTTGTTAATACACAATGGATACGTACGTGAATACATGTGGAAACGTAAATATTATAATTAATCGTGCGTTACGTTCAGCTATGTAATATTGTAATAATATCGTGCAATGCGGGATAGAAGTCGATCAACCGCGTCCGAGCGATTGTTGCGGAATAGATTCATTCGCTTTTTATTACTCTACACATAATTATACACAGTTGTACATTCATCGGATTAAATACGGGTATTATAAACCACGAGGAACAAGGGCGTTCATTAGGAGGGGGCAAGAGAGGGACATGTCCCCCTGGATTTTCTGTATCTATTATATATTTGTATATACAATATTATAACTGTTAATTTATATTAAAAATATACAGTCGCTGCCAGAGAAATTGACGCGGCGGCGGCAGCGCTTTTCGGTAGGTGTATCCCAAACTAATCGTGGTGTGTTTCGACCGCGCGGTTTTATTAATAGATCGATGTGATGATACGAAAATAATTATGGAACGTACTAATATCGATGGATGTTTACTCATTCACGCCAGTATAATGTTCGTCTATTAATTACGCACGCTATAAAATTGATAGATATCTTTGTATTGTGTTTTTTTTTATATGTTTTTGCCGATAGTTTTTTCATAATGAGTTAAAAAATTAAAAATCATAAAGGTTACAGTGAAACAAGAGAAATAATTTGGAATGTTTTCAATTAAATTAATTTTGTTAGCAAATCTTATCTCTCGTGGACAAAACTTTAACACGGGAGAACGAATCTTGGGAATCATAGATACTAGTTATAAACCTATCGATAACGATCGTCGAGAGGCACCGATCGCAAGTGTGTGGCCCAGGATTTTAGATGATGGACGCCATTGACACAAGACATAACCGTATACGCAAATCTGACGGGTAATTATCTTCGAATTTTATTTACACAATCACACAGGCACGTGTTGAAGAAATATTATCATAGGTTCATTACAGTGGCGTATACAAGAGGGATGTGGGGGGTCAGATCCCCCCTAAGCCTTTTTTTAAATATTATAAACGTTAGAAACGTAAAAAAAAAAAATGATTTGTTTGCAAATGATCCCCTTCCCCCAATACAAAAGTTATCTATACGCCACTGGTGCATTATCATTTCACCGAATCACTTTTATACCCATATCGAAAATCTGACTCCGGACGGTGTTATTATAATTACTTTATTTATATATAGTTTAACGTATAATTACGTGTAGTTACAATCGAATTAACAAGTCTAGCCGTTTTATCGTTAAAAACACACTGCCGAGCTTTTTAATAGCCTATATAACCTCCGTAGTCCTTATAAATAATCCACACGTTCTCGTGTATGTTTGTATTACTGTATAGAGGTGATATTATCGCCACGGTCTGAGCGCGACTTGAACCGCTCGCGCGGCACAACAAGTGTACATAAATTATAAATTAAAATGTCAGCAAAGCCGGGCGAGTTACCATATATAAGCTTGCGGCTGAACGAATCACAACTACTTAACTCGGTTTAACAACATGGACGTATTAAGGTACAAGTTCACAGTTTCCATAGAAAACAATTTAAAAATTTTGTCGATGAGTAGTTAGTGCTCGGTCGTGTTACAATATATACGCAAAGTCGACAATAATTGTGTACGCCTATTGGTAAAACGTACCTAGTAAGACGCGCTTTGCGCAGTACGGAAAGTAAATTGCCCATTACGAAATTCGAATGCGTTTAATAGAATCCGTCGGAGTGACAAAAACGGTTGCTTACGTGAACCGATATGAGTACGATCGGTTTGCACTAAACACAGAAAAAATTCGGCACACCGTGTATACGTTAAAACATGTTTGAAAAACGTACAACAACCTTAACTGTTTAATTGCAGCACAGACTACAGACGATCGTTTCGAATATATTTTTATACAGTGTACATTACACGAATGATCGACGGTCTTAGGTCCTGAACAACAGCAGTCTCATGGACCCCCCGGAATATAAAGTAGACATCCAAAGGACCGATGATTTTTTTTTTTTTCGTCGATATAATAATTTTATGTTGTACACGTTTAACGCGGTTTTCGTTCGGTTCGAAACTCGCCGGCGACAGACGTGTCGACCGATACACGTGTGTCCGCGCAAGAGCGCTGTAACATCGTATGCGACCAGGGATACACTTGTATATTATTTTGATATTCAACTCGCGCGGAATGTAATGAATTCACGCTCGCCGGGACATCGTATATTATGTGACGCGCGAAAGACTAGCGCGGGGTGAATACGTAATGGGTACACGCATGTCCCAGGGTTTTCGGTGGTATTCCTATTTTATTTTTTTCCTCTCGCCGGCTTTTCACGCTCCGAAATCCCGGAGATTTGAGACGCATACGATATGATTTGTAGCTGGACCTAGTAATGCCGTTTTGATCCGGCGGACGCGACGAACAAAAAGAATACGTTATAATAAATTTACAATAGAAAAAAAAATAAAAAATAAATATAGGGCACCGATAACGTGCGGGTATATAATACGCGACGACTACCTTCGAAAGTGCGCTGCGCACAACAGCGACGGTATTTCCGACCCACCCCTGGCACTCCGACCTTGAGACAACTTCGGGCGCACGTGTAATAGTTTATGTTGCAGTCCGGAGCCGGGACGCGCGGTACATATCGTTGTACGTTTGACACGTACGTGCAGCGGTCAACGTACGGTTGGTGTGTTGGTTGTACGGACGTTGGACGCGTTCAGAAACGGGCGCGCTCGGGTTAATTTAAAAACGTGTACCATGATCCCGGGCGAGGGCGCCGCCGCGAGGAAATTAATTATACGCGCGATACCTCTCTATAACAGTACGCGGTTGAAGTATAATATTGATAGTAAACATTAACGGTGAATACGATTACTACCGGCCGTAGTGCATTCGTACGCGCAATAACAATAATGGGTTGACGCGGCGTCGGTCGGCCGTTCCGCCGACTTCGGGCTGCCGGCCGCGACGACTACGTGTGATCTATCGCCGCCGCCCGCGCAGGTTTTTAATACTGTTGTTATTACACGATCACCCGGTTGTCTACGAAGATTAATAAGTTTATAATTATCCGGTGCGCGCGGGGACACGGATAATTGAATGCCGTTCTCCGCGGCTTCAACAACACCGAATAATACGGGTACTATTGCACGCGATGCCTGTGATGCGTGTACGCTGCGGAGTTTTTGGAATCGTAATTAAACCTTACCCGAGGGGCCGTACGATGTTTTTTAATACGAATACGTTTTCGTTTTTCTACGCCGCGTCCGTCGGAGCGAGTAAGACGCAGACCATACGTTCTGGGGAGGGGGGGATGGATTCGAGGGAGCTTATCGGTCCCCAAACCTCTCGTATCGCTTCGGAAACCTTCCCTTAAACGTTTCTCCCGAAAAGTATACCGCAACAGTCGACTGTTTGATCAAATTATGATCACCCGTATTAAAAATATTACCGAATAGTTATAAATAAATGGTGAAAAAACATTCGTTTTGTTTCGAATCGGTCATCCATTACGTCTCGTCGATAGCGTTCAGTTCCGTGGAACAGTGTGAGCGCGAACAACGATTTACTCGCGAAATAAATATTCGTCGAGTGCTATAAATGCGTAAACAACTGATTACTGATCGTACGGACGGTACTGTACACGGAACGCTCGAAACGCTTTAGGAACCATAGTCCGTCCCAGTGGCGTACATTCAATCTTGACCTGAGGAGGGGGAGGGTTAATCGTTATCTTTTTTTTTCTCGTTACAAAGATAAATAACTGCTATAAATAGATACATATATTTTATACAACAGTTCACTTTTACATTTCAGTAAATTAGTAGCTATAGGAATATAAAAACAAAATAGTTAACCAAACTTTTCAAACACCTATCAATATAATTATTTAATTATTATAATAATTGTATATTTGTATATTTTTATATTTTAAGTTCAAAGCGTAATAATGAGGCTAAGAATATATTACACGTTATCAATAATATCACGATTTTTTTTTTTTGGCCCTGGGGGGTTTGAACCTGAACCCCCCCCCCTTCGTATGTAAGCCACTAGTTCGCCCTTCGAT